GAAATTATCGGTAGTTCCTAGTCAACATTATCTATCTACATATCTTGGGTAAGGCCAGGGATGCCCATTCCTCCAAGGCCGATGGCGACTAAACCTTCCCCATGACATTTAGCCAAAAACACTATGACTTAGATAAGTCATTTGAGGTTCAGCCATCACTCTCCCAAGTCTTTTGCCTACAAACCTACTCTTATTTGCTCTATCTATATGACCTAAAGGTTATTATTTGCTAATGGGTTGAAAACTCCAACACTCACTTTCTAAGCCTTATTACTTGATAAAATCGTTGGTGTGAACTCGACTAACATCTAAACAGTCTACTGAACTAATGATACTGAATAAACATTTTGATTCCATAGAAAGTAAACATTGGAATCTAGAATCATTTTATTGAATTAAGGATTAAGGGTTATTGTCCTCTATATTAACATTCCTAATTGAAAACAAATAAAAAGACTACCTATTTATTCATTAAAAACAATAGACCAATCCAAAGATATTAATAATGAAAAAAAGCAGGAAATATAAAATTGTGCTGGATTTTAGTTTCACTCTTCACACCACAGCTAAATTATTATGCTTAAAGAATTGGAAAAACATTAATGAATAAAACTAGAGTTCTGCTACTTTATTTAGGGCTAGAGAAAGAAATGGGGGAATTTGATGCTCTCACGGCAACATTTTTGCGTTAACGTAAATCCGACAAAAGTCATAGAAACCACACCTGCGGAATTATGGTTTGAAAAAAGGCCTGACTTTTCTCGCCTAAATTTGTTGGATCTATTGTATACTCAAAGGTACTCTCCCACTTAAAGAAATTAGCACGCCGGAAAGTCGTAGTAGCCAGGGACGTTTATGTTTATAATCCAATTGAAAAGACTTTTGATGGTGAAACCAAAACCGTTCGAATTTTTTATGTAGATGATGGGGATGAAATCAATTTGGCAGAAGGAACAGAAATTAAAGAAGACAATAGTGAAACTGGTGCGAGAGAAAAACAATAAAAAAATTCCGAAGATCAAATTTATCGTAAATAAATGAAGAAGCCTCATCAGTCCAACATAGCGATGAGGAAATATAGACCCCAAAGAAAGATTAATATAATGCGCAGATACAATCAAACAGATTAAAAATATTTCCAGGAAAACTTAATGATTTTCATCTTGATTTGGACTCATCAGAACACTTTGAATAAAGTGCTCTTTTATGACACCAAAAAGCTGTTTCAAGCAATGAAAAAAGACAATGGCTTCAGGCATTTGAGGAAGAGAAACATTCTCTTACTAAAACAACACATGCAGTCTTTGATAGAAAAGCTGCAGGAAAACAACAAATTATTAAAAATAGATGGGTTTTCTAAATTAAAAGACGGTGGCAACGTCAAAGCCCGTCTCGCCGCAAGTGGTTGTAAACAGAAATATACCTACAACGAATAAACCTTCAGCCCTTTAGTTAGCAACGATATGTTGCGGCTTATTCATGCTTTGACTGCGAATGAAAACTATAATGTAACAGAGTTTGATTTAAAAACTGCTTTTCTGTATGAAAAACTAGAAAATTCAGTGTATATAGAAGAACCTTAAGGCTGAAACAAATCGAAAAATGAAATTTGCAAATTGGATAGAGCGCTTTATGGGCTTCCTAAAGCTTCATTACGCTGGAATAAGCAGTTATCTATATTTTTAATCAAAAGTGGACTTAAAGCTGTTAACAATGAACCTTGCATTTTTAAGAATGCTGACTCATCTTTGTTCCTTGCCGTTTACGTTTACGATGGCATCCTTGCATCAGATAGTGAAGAAAAAATAATCTGCACAAGGAATTGACTCAGGACTTCGAGACGACGGGTGTAATAAGCTTTAAAACATTTTGATAATTGGGATTAGAAGTCTCACGTATAAAAAATCTTAAAATTTCGCAAACTGAATATACTAAACAGGTACTGGAGAAATATGGTATGGATAATGTCAAACCTGATGCAACACTATTAATCAAAAACAGTTATTAAACGTTTGGTCACTGAATATCCATTCATAGAAGTTGTTAGAAGCCTGCTTGGCTTATACAGTGGGAATAGTATAAAGTAGTAGAATAAAGAATAAAAGTAGAAAAGCTTAACCGCGGAGACTTCACCAACTTAAAAAGAACTCTCAAATATCTTAAAGATACCAGAAATGATGGTATACACTACACTAATGACTTTTCTGTTGTAATCACCGCTTATTCTGACTACGCCGGTGACCCGGAAACTAAAAAAAGTTCATCAGGGCACATTATTTACTTTGCTGGAGGACTCCAGCTCAGTCCAAAGAAACAGCCGATTGTCGCTACAGAGAGCGAATACATCGCAACTGCTGAGTGCTGCAATGAAGTTGTGTATTTAAAAAGCCTTTTAGAAGAACTTATATGTAAAACAGTTAAAGCAACTTTATACATAAATATCAAAAGTTCAATACGTTTTACGAAGATAAAAAATTTTAATGGAAATAGTTAACATATTTATGTGCAGTTTTATTTTATAAAAGAATTGATTGAGCATAAATATATTAATATTGAATATTATCATACAAGTAAATAATTTGCTGACCTGCTTACAAAATCTCTAGACACAACCAAGCTTGAAGAATTTAAAAAACAAATTTTGACTTTGTAAAGATTAATTTTTTGTACTCTTGTCTCACCCTATCTAGCGGTACTCTGAGTTCGAGGTTTGGTAGATGAATGGTAAGCAGTTTGGAAGTTCACCCATGTACCGAGCAGGTTCCGAAGTAGGGGAGAGAAAGGGAATTTTTAATCTTATCCTATCTTAGGAAAATAATTCTGCATTTTTTAAGGTCCAGATGCTCACAAATATTCCTAGAATTCGTTCTTTAAGGAGCACGGCGAATCCGCTCAATTACAATTTTTACATCTCCAATTTTTTACTACAAGGAGACTTCAAGGAGATCCACAGCGAGAGAGATTGAGTTGAAGAGGGAGTCGTACGGACTGTCCGTAGAGAGCGTAGGACATGATGTATTAGGTACTTTCTATTATCGTTGTTCAGTGTTAGACCATTGTCGTCGTTGGAAGCATCACCTTGTCCAGTGGTCAGTGTCCAAATGGAACATCAGGGTGCTCTTCAGCGACCTGTGCCACCGTTCAACGAGGGCATTAGACTGAGCCTGGTTTCGTGAAGTTTAAACTAAATCCTAGTTAAAAAAATCTAAGTAAAAATCGTGTTTCTTTCATTTCTCTTTATAATCACTTGACTGGAATAATGATGTCCTAGTCTATTTTGTTAACCAATTAAATAAAATTTTATTTGCGTAGCCAGGGATAGTATAGCAAAATTTTGTAGTCTATTCACCACGGACCACCTAGGATGGGTAAACAAAGTTGTTTTACTCCTGAAATTGTATTTTTTTTATTTTAGTCTGCCAGTGGATTTCCGCAGCCTAACATAGGCAAACGTTATTTGTCTATTATAAACCAAATACTTTCTTATTTCAAAATTTCAAACCTCCTGAAATTGGATTTTTTTAATTTGAGTCTATCAGTAAATTAACGGAGACTAACCCAGGCAGACAACGTTATTTCCTTCACGAATATTTTTATGTAGTATAATCGGTGAATTTCAAGGATCCTATGATCGGTAAATTTATGATCCCAACGTTTAAAATGTTTAAATTAAGTCTTTCAAAGCATAACAGTGGCACAGAAACGGTCATTTCTCAAAATGACCTTTCTGCTGTTTAGTAGAAAGATTCATCTATCTATGTAAGTTTTAACTAGCCTGCAGTGAGTGCTATTTTCAGCGAGTTTGAACAGCTTTGAATGTTTTAAAACAGCGGCTTTAAAATAGCAGTCAAAGCTTATTTTAGTTAAAATGTATTAACTTTCATAATTTACAATCAAACCTTCGCCTGCGATGATAATGTTTTTTTTGGTCCTGGCTCCAAGGCTATAACTCGCGGTGGATGGTGGATGATATGCTAAGAATAAATATAAATAAGATATGAGAAATGAATAATGAATGAAGAAGATTATTCCTCTAAGGATTGACGCTGTTAAAATGTTGACGTGTGTTATGAATTTAAATTAACATATGTTTTTAAAACATCATAATTCATTAATGTTGTTGTATTCTATGAGTTGAATAAAACCTTACGTTGAAGGTATTATTTATTTATTACAACGTGTATTCTTCTTTTTGCTGGGAAGTTGTATGTTCTGTGAAATTGTATTCTCTGTTTTTGGCAATAATAACTTCCAGTTGAACAACAATTGGAACTTAATTTAAATACAACAAATAAATCAATTGTTGTTTAATTGGAAGTTATTATTGCCAAAAACAGAGAGTTGACGTGTAGTTTTATTTCTTGACCCACTTCTTTGTTTCCGATGATTGAATCACAGCTCTGGTAGTTGATAGATTAAATATGTAATAAAACTATGGCCAGATAGCAAAGGCTGTCCCCACTTCTGTATTAGTATTTATACTTCTGTAGTATTATTTCTCTTCTTCCTACTTTTCCACATCTTGGTCTTCCCTAACTGACTAAGGTATACTTTAGTCATAGGTTCAATATACTGAACCAATCATGCATAATAAAATCTAATGGATTATCAAAGTATTGAGAGCGAATATATTTCGATTTGTTGGATAGTGCGAATGAATAAATAACTAGAATATGCTGCTAGTAATAATCGTGAATAATAAAAATCTTTACCCCTACAACCGAGTATTTTGTAAGGATACACTGTTCCTTAGTCAACGGGAGTGTATGAATGTGGTTTGACCAAGATCACCGCCAGATTTTTTTCCCTTATCAATCATCTAATTAATTGTACTTACTTTATATATGTAGGATAAAACAATAATAAATGTAGAAGTACAAATGAATAATAAATATCCTGTTTCCTGAAGATCTACTTTAAGTTCTAAGTTCGCTTTATTATCTAGTATCTATACAATAATCGATTCGTTAAAAATAGTTTTTGTTAGTATCGATATTATGCTTTTACTCTCCTTAGATGGTAATGATCACGCAAACAACAAATGTAACTAGTGACTTTAGGCTTAAAGTTTCTGAAAGTGGAAAGTTATGGGATGTAGACTTATTGTGGACTTAGTTTATTATTAGAAAAATATTTTAGAGACAAGATCTACAAATTTATGGCGTATCTAAGCTCTAGTTATTCTGTTTTCTTATTCAAGATGGTGGTGATGTTAACGTTCCCTTGATTTTGTGATTATTGTTTTCATTATGACATTGGTTTATAAAGTTAAAGCATTGGAGAGAGCGTGGTAAGTATTTGAAATTTTCCTTCAAATATTGATTTCTTAGAGTTTGTACTAAATTTCAACCTGTTATTTGAAACGATTTTTCATCAAATTCATTTTATTTTATTTATATTTGATCTTTAATTATACCTGGTTAATGTTTAAGTCTCATTATTGGTTTGATGTTAACCATTGCAATTTCTTATTGTATTTGCATTGATTTTGGTATTGACATATGTTATTCTATGATCAAGTTGAATTTGCTAGTATTGGTTTTAATAGTATGTTGCTATGTTAATTTTTTCTATGTTCGCCTTTTTATTTAGATTTTACAGGTGGTTGCGAATATGACACAGTTCTCAGTTTTCAATTTTGTGCCATAGTATTTAGGGCAGTTAATGACACCTGTTAAGACAATTATATCTATTACTGTTTATGTATTGTAATCGAAGAAATAATTATGTTTATATTTTAAAATATTCTTTGCTTTATTTTACACTAAATTTCCGAACTGTCAATTTAAAAACCATATACTGCAATGTCAATACAAGACTGGTAATTTATGTTGACTATTATTCCTTGTTTAAATTATCAAAGTGTTGTATTATTGCATTTAAAGATTTTTGACAGTTCAATGTTCAAGATCACAACAATAGATCTAGGTGTTAATTTGATGGTGTTTGTTGTCATAGTGTGATCATTTGTATGTTTATCATCTGACTAACTTTTGTTTTATTTGTCCAATTATATTCCTTTTTTAATTTATATAATAAGGAATATTCTGTTGTTGAAAGGATTGATATGATTTTTTTTTTTCCTTAATGATCATTTACTTTAATGATTATTGATTTTTTTAAAATAAGAAAAGTAAGTTTCAGGGATTTATAGTATTTATTTATAATAAGTTAGGTATAATATTTAAGGTTGACATTCCTTTTAATATTAAGTCTACTTACTTAAAATGATCTTGAGTTTTAATTTTTGTATTTTGCTGGTTTATTATTTATAATCCTCAAATGCATATTATAACCTCATATTCCAAACATCATCTTTATCAATTAACAAATTAAGAGGTGTCAGTCTTCTCAAAGTTTCAAGCCTTTATTTTAGAAAGATATTTATAGAAGATGCTGCTCTCACTATAACTTCTTTATATTTTATACAATGCTATATTTTTTTTGTTGAATGCTGTAAACTTATTGAACCAAAAAATAAGTATTTAAAGCCATCTATTGTCGATTCAAGGGATGATATTAGTGTTAAAGGTAGACAGTTTAGACAAATTAAACTGACAATGGTGTTTCATAACACAATGCTCAATAAACTCTTATGTTGTTTCATTTACCATTACAAATTAATATTAATCTATATTTTTTTGTTATTTATTTAATATCTCTTAAAATAATATTTTAAATGTTATTGTGAAATTGTTTCACAAATTTTTATATATTGTTTACTAATTTGGTACGTGCTATATTTAGTGCTATTTAGAATCGATTATTTTGTACTGGAATCCATATCTAAGATTGTTTTAATGTATATTTATTTGTATAGTAATTTCCTTTAACTATTAAAATAAACAATTGAATGGCTCTGGGCATCAATATAACAAGCCACTTGTAAATTTTTCAGTAATCCAGTTTTTAATTGCTATTCTTATTTAATGTTTTTTAAAATGTGTCAGTTAGTTTGTATTCAAATTTTACCTGTTTGAAAAAAAGAAGGTTCTAATTAAAGTCACACATGTCAAATTTTTATTTGAAGTGGACACAAGGTGATTTTAAAAAGAAAAAATATTCTTTTTCAGAAATTTTACAACTTTGTCGTTTTAGGTTTCATAATATCCGTTAGCATTAAGAAAAAAATTTTTAATTCCTTTTGTCTAAATTAATTTAGTTCAATAGTCAGTATTCAATTATTTGTTCGGAATAAGGCTATTAGAGTATGATAGTAAATTGGAGGAATGTATGGTAAAGGGAAGGGTAGTACTGCACAAATGTCTCTCCACTTTCATTGGTGGTAAAAGATCTAAGGATCACACCATTAATGGAATCCCGAGAGTTTCTAAAAATGTCTGACAGTTGATGGAAGTGTCTAAACTAAGGTGACCATATTTTAACATTGGTAAAGTGGTATACAATTGATGGGGAGGGGAGAGGTTTTATTGACTAAAAATTTGGTCCAAATTAGCTGTTACAATAATTAATTTTACATAATGATAATCTGGTGCAAATATATATTGGTAACATACTATTCAGCTGAAAGAAGATTGATAATTTAGTTCTAAAGACGTAATTTATTACTTCAATAATTAAAAGGTTTTTATGACTTAGTTGTTTTGTGCCAGCAGTTTGTTCAGAATCAAGCAGCTCTTTTTCAAATTGCTATAAAATTTGTTTAAGTTCACAAAATTTCGGTAATCGGAGTAGCAAATAAAGTTAACTTGCTGATGCCCAAGATTTATCCTTTTCCTTATCAATATATTTTTTAATAATGATTGAAATTCATTAAAAATTTCATTGAGTCCAAACAATCGTGGTTGAATTCTAACGACTCATCGAAAATAATTAATTGGTTGAATAACTAAATTTAACTGGATCCAATAATATGATTTTATTTAATTTTAATTTATTTACTGGATCAATAAATTGAATAAAATTAATTTTAATAAACAGTGCACTAAAAAGAAGAAGCCATTTATTTTACCCTTTTACGATAACACATTCATAGAAATTTCTATTGATGGTTGCACTTACGTCACATACACAATTTATATTTGTTAAGGTTTACAATTATATTAATTATTTTTGGAGTATTTTTCTTTCTCCTTGATAACTGTGTGTGTCATATTTATAATAATATTTACGTTAGGACAAATAATAAATTTGATTGTTATTTTGTTTTCTTCTGAAATCATAGAAAATAATTAATTGCTTGAATAATTTAATTTAATTGGATCCAATAATATGATTTTATTTAATTTTAATTTATTTACTCGATCGATAAATTGAATAAAATTAATTTTAATAAACAGTGGACTAAAAAGAAGAAGCCATTTATTTTACCCTTTTACGATAACACATTTATAGAAATTTCTATTGATGGTTGCAATTACAGTTGGGCTTGTGTGTATATCAAAATCTTAAATTTTTATTTGAAAAAAAAATTGGTACTGGTTCAATAGGTATCAGGTCTGGATGACTTGTAAATTATTAAAGTGGACGACACTGTACATGGAATGCTGAAAGTAATAGTGTGTATTTCATTTATAATAGTGGATTGATGGTTGACTGTAGTGAAAAATTGAAGAGAAGTTGGTTGAGCTGTTCAGTCAAAAATACAAATTAAAAATAAAGAACTATTTTTTTTTTATTTTTGCAAACGTTTCGACCCTAAGTTGAAGCCTTTATCAGGGCTAAGGAAAGACCAGATAACAATAGTTTCTCATACCTATTGTTATCTGGTCTTTTCTTAGCCCCAATGAAGGCCTGAACTTTGGGCTGAAACGTCGGCAAAAATAAATATTATTTATTTATTTTTACTTTGTATTTTTGAATGAACACCCCAACTAACTTCAATAACTAACTAACTAACTTCAATATTTGATATATAAAGTTATCCACCTTACGACAACACAAATGTTTATGTCTGATTAAATTACATTTCATTCACTCCTATCAGATGTTAAGTTAAAGATTACATTCGATCTTATTGTTTATTTTTACAAATATTTATACATTATATTCTTGTTTTGGATCATTAGTACTAATTTTTTTATTGACATTTATCAATATATAATAAAGTTTAATTTGTTTTTTATGGTAATAGTATGTTAGAAGAAATTGGAAATTGATAGCATAGGTTGGAAGGGCAGTAATTGAGCTTTCTAACAGTTTTCTATATTTTATTTATTTATTTTTTATATTGGATTAACCCCTACTCACATTTCTGGCATGAAGGGGAGGAGGGGGTTGTGTTCTAGAGGTGCAAGCGAACCTATTCCAACCAGAATGTGAAGGTCATTTCATTCCGTGGGTCCACCACGAAATAAAAGTCAACCTCTTTTAGGCAGGATTTGAACGAGGGGGTTGCACAATCAGGGGGTCTGGCCCTACAGACTATTTAACATTCTCGAGTCTAGCTGGTTCGTATCTTTTCTGCAGAGTTGAAATTTATTACTTGGCTCACCCACAGAATATTCTCGACCTTCCCATTCTTGCTATAATACGATTTGGTTGCACCTCTAAAATAGAATTTTTGTGTGACCCAGATTTTGGAAAAATATTTCAGGTGTGGATTTGGATTCAGTTGTGGTAATGGTTTATGTAGACAAAGTGTGGGTAAGAATAAAATGTAAAGAATACCAAGTTCTATAAACGTCTATAACTAAAACATAAGGTTCATTAAATTAAAATTATTAGTATTTAATTTATGTTTATCTAATCTTATTGTGGCTATGATATTCTTGAATTTGTACTACTTTGGCTCTTTAAATTGTTCTTATAATTTTCGATTAGTTTCTTATGATAATTTATTTTAAATGAGATCTTTTAGTTTGAATTGCTATTGTTTATTATTTGTTTTATTGTAATGTTTTTTATGATTGTTTTATTTTAAACTGATTTTTGTGAGCAGCTTTGCCTACTGTCTCTTGTTAGTAACTAATTTCGTTTTCTTAATTTGAATTAGTAGGAGTGGGTAGCTCAGTAATAGGCAGAGATGGTCAAATGCCAAAATGAGTACCGAGTCCCCTTTATACGTATACAAATATTTAAAATGTCCATTTTGAGATTATGTCATTGCGTTTTGACTTATTTGAGTTTTCGGATTTCTTTCATATGAGGATCTATTTATATGTTTTTGGAGACGTAGTTTTTGAAAATTATTTCATTTTGAGATTACGCCACTGCTTTTTGCGCAACTATGAGTACTGAGGGTTAAAGCTATTAATGATAGAAAGGAAAGTCTGTTTCTTAGAATTCAAACCACTTTCAATTTAGGATCTCCTCGCTAGAAAGGAAATT